GTAGAGTGGGAGAATGGAATCAGACTCCAAAGGGCAGTCTGAGGCTCTGTGCCAAAACTCAGGTAGGAGTTCAAGGGCAAGGCTATCCCCACAAAAAGAACTGCCCTCCTGCATGCCCTCCACACCTGGAAAGTGGAGAAAAGAAATCAAATGGCTATGAACCCTTGTGATTCTATTACATTCTTGGCCTTTCCACATCAAATTTTAATTTTCTCCAAAACTATATTTAATTTTGAAGCAATTCTAAGGTCTACAGAAACAAATTCGTTATCTACAATAGAATAAACAAAGGATTTATCCTTTTGTAACAATGAATTCTTTTTTTTAGAAAAGTGAACTGGGACGGGGGGAAGAGGGAGGGGGTAAAATGTTTAATAATGAATTAATGAAAATCTAACTTCTCTAAATGTTCGTTAAAATCACAATTAAAATAAAATTTTATTTTAAAAAAAATAAACAAAGGAAGGAGATCGATCCAAGAGTACTAAATTTCAGTGTCCAAGCCTTCAGAGAAAATAAAACAAGACAAAAGCAGAAAGCAAACCTGATCTCTTTAAACTCTAGTAGAGATATATTTCTGAAAGAAGCAAAAGCTTAGCACACACTCTCATGGAGCTATTATGTCTTATGCCAGTGTGGATCAGTATCCTTGGACTTGTGAGAGTTTGTATTTGAGGTTTAAGTATGGATCTTTTGAAGGGAGAAAGAGCCAGTGGATAAGACCCACTTCTAAATTTGGTCACTATATAAAATCCTGTTTCAGAGTCTTTCAATTCTAAACTCTCAAAAACTATATTGTCAGATTCTAAAATCTCTGACACTGCCTGTTTCCAGTGTTAGGAGATGCTGTTTGGCTGTGCATACCTTCCAAAAGCTAAGGGGAAGGTTGAAAGCACTAAAGACAGCTTTCAGAACTGACCAAAGGACTCCAAACCAGGTGCCATCAAATCCACACTGGCTAAAGAAGTTCCCAAGTGTGTCCTGTAGAACTCTATGTAAAAGTTGGGGTTTTGTTTGTTTGTTTGTTTGTTTTAAATTATACTAGTTTATTTACAGAGTTTTTAATGGCTGTGATCTTAAGACAAGAGGATGACAAAACCTTTCTCCTGAGATGAGTAAATGAGACCTGCGAACCTTTCGCTGAGTGGCTAGGGCTTAACTGTCTTTTGCTTTTGCAAATATGACATCTTCCACAAAGCAAACCAACCTCTCAAACGCAATGAGACTGAACCTTTCAGTGTAAAACAACTAGCTCGATTGCCAATTGCAATTTTCTTAGTGTAGCTAATCAGCCTCAGGCAGATCACCTTTTCCTTATTGGCCTTCCTTAAAACACAGCCTGGGTACAGCCGGGTTCTGGGTGCGGCAGCTCAAGTTAATTTGGTTTGCTCAGGTTCTCCTCCCCCTGGTGGAGCCCCGTGCCCCCTGGGTCTCTGCGCCGGTCTAATAGCTCCCGGCCACTTCATTTCTCCACAGCTCAGAGCCGTTCCGAAAGCAAAGATTAAAGGGGAAAGTCGCAGCTGTATATTTATATTTTCCCTGCTAGAAGGGAATTGATTTCCGCGCATTTATTTTCGTAGTTGTAATACACAAGGGCGGATTTGCGTCACCCGAGCAACTTGTCGGTGGAGATAAAGTTGCACAAATATTGAAAGGGGAAGTGCTAGGAGTCATTATAGAGTTTTTCTCCGGAAGAAATAAGGATTTCTGCAGTATCCTAAAATACGAAGGCCGCTTCTATTTTGAGACCAATCTCGCAGGCACATCCGCTCATTTAGTCCGAGTTTGAGCCCATCAAAAAACAGGAGATGACCTGGCTGCATTGAGCCAGGGTTTCCTGCTGCCTTCTTAGTTTGAGGGGTGGAGTAAGGAAGAGCTGAGCGTGCGGGCAGAATGGGGCCAGGTCTGGCGCGCTCTCTTCTCTCCTCTTCTCTCCTCTCCTCTC